GGATGGAGGTGGGTGGCTCTGGCTTTGCAGAGAGCTGGATGGCACGGTGACATACGCCCGGGTGGCCGGGTTCAGGTAGCTCCGGCAGAAGGGACCAGGCGCTCTCTGGACTGTCATGTCTTCTTCGATGTTTTCAGGTGTTTTGAGCGGTGTTGTCCTTCCTCCAAGGTTGGCAGAGCCTTTACACTCCCCTTCCTCTCTTTTCTCCACCTCCCAGTCCACTTCCCTCTAAATACATCCTCAGTCATTTCCCTGAGCTGTTGTGGTTAAGGGCCTCCCCGGCTAGGCTGAGGGTTAGTGGTGAGGCCTGCCTGCTGACTGCTTTTTTTTTCTTCTTTTTTTTTTTTTAATGACCCTTTTTTTTAATGCCCTGCCTGTTGATTCTCATGCAGAGTGCGAACATGGCTATGCCTCGACCTTCCCCTCAGTTCCAAGTCCTGGACTCCAAGACCCAAAACCCACGCGGAGGCTGAGCCGGGCAAGGAAACACAGTGGCAGTGGCAGCAATGCAAGTATTGCCAACAGGTACGACGCGGGCAGGAAAGTGTGGGGTGCGGGGCTGGCTGGGAGGATGGAGCCGGAGAAGAAAGCTGGAGGCAAGGGGAGAGAAACTTAACCTGTGGGGAGAATGGGAAGAGTCTGAGCACAGGAGGATTTGGAGCTGGGACACACAAGTACAGATCCGTAGTGCTGAGAGCAGAGGGAACACAGGGGAGCTGTATCTGAAGTGGCACTGCCAGCTGACTCTGTGCCAAGGCTCAGATGCTGCAGAGGGAAGGGGAATAGGGAGATCTGTTCCTAGGGTTCAGAGAGGAGGTAGGCGATAGCTATTCCCATTATATACAGCTGATGTCTTTCCAATCCAGAAGTCGCCGCTTTTAAGGGATAGCGTGCGTGCAGCCTGAGTGCTTTGGGATTGTAATGACAGGCATGATTTGAAGCAAGGAAATGATGTTTTGAAATGGATCCCCTACAACAAATGGGAGAGAGGGAGATGACTGGCTGCTGTGTACGACGTGTTAAAAATTCAGTTCAGGAAAATGAAGCTGTCTTTCACTCTGCCTTTTAGGGCAGTGGGATTTCCCAGGTTTCTGATTGCTTGGTAATTGTAGAACTCCACGTTTTGACACTTATCTTATACAGTGCCATATTTATTGGTTTCTGAAATCTGGAAGAGATGACAGGATTAAGCCTGTCTCTTGGTGCTGCGGTAGGATCTGTCTCTCCCCCCTCATTCCTGTTCTTTTTATTTTCTTTTGCTCCCTTCTGTAGAATTGTCCAGACCTTCTGAGATAGTGAAACTTTAGAAACAGAGTATAATTTTGACAAGGCAGTTGGGAGCTTGCTTTTACCGTAGCAAGGCCTGTGCAATCCATAAAATGGTGGCAGGTGGCTCAGGTGATTAAAGCTTCCTTAAGGCCATTGGGAAGGACCTGTGAAGGCCTAGGAGAAAGGTGCCTTTGCTTGCAGTGATTCTGCTTCGGCAGCATTTGGTAATAAAGGTTGTTTGAAGTGATGTTAGGACACCTTGCTGTGGGGAAGTTTTCTTCATCAGGATCAGCATATCCTGAGCCATTTGTATGCTGCATGCTTAGATATTTTTTTTTTCCCTCCTTCATCCAGTTTCCCCTGATTTCAGGGCAGTTGTAGCTCTTTACTGTTTCCCAGGAGCCAAAATCCCAAATCCCTGTGACTTTGTGTTGGGAAATGATGGCAAATGCTGAAGTAAGGTCTGTATTTTTCCCCTCCAGGGTTCTCGCATACTATTTTCCCATCCCACACCTCCTTCTCTCAAAGGCCTTTGTCATGGCAACCTGCCCTTCTCCAGAGGAGGGCTGGAAGCACATCCCCCTTAGGAGCTCCTTAGCACCGAATCCAGCAGCCTGTAGGCTAGAGGGGGTTACGGAGCACTCCCTGTCCCTGGGGGCTCAGCATGCCCTGCTGACACGGAGCTCCCAGGCACAGCTTTCCTGGGCACCTTTCTGCTGAGACCAGCCCGCTGGGCCATTAGCATGACAGGCTGAATATGTTGCTGTGGGGGGAAAGGCAATAGAGGAGGAAGAAAAGGTACTTTCTTGTCTTATTTAAAACCTTTATTATGCAAGGAATACTGAGGCCAAATTGAGTCTTCAGAGTGAAGGCGTTACCCAGTGTGTTGCCTCCTATGTTTGTGTCAGCCTCGGGGAGTGACCAGTATCAGGTCTGCTCTAGGTGGAGACCGGAGTGGTTCTCTGGGGAGCTCAGACTGTACATGCACAGTTGGAAATGGAAGTTTCTTCTAGCGCAAGTCGTAGCAGCTTGCACTTGCTGTAGGAGATGGCAGGCCTTCCAGATGGCTGCAGTGCTGGGAAGTGACAACTGTGAAGTTCAGGGTGCCTCCAAATTCGCTGCAGTGTGTTTTGTGTGACGCTGAGTATAGCATCAGCCTTGTTTAAGGAAGGCTCTGTATCATCCCTTCCTGTTAAAGGCACAATTCAGGAAGTTCTGTCTAGTAGAGTTTGAATGGACCTTTAATTAAATACCAAGCACTTGATGACGGACAAAACTTACATTTTAACATTTTACATTTTGTGGACAAGAGATTTTTCTTAGGTTACTTTTGTCTCAAAATGTTTAGTTAGCGTAGGGAAATTATGCATTTAGATCTTGTGCGGATTTTGTAATTTAAAAGCCTTCTGTAAAAATGTCCCTTGAGCAACCTTGCAAAGCATGGTTGGTGTGTGTGTTTGGGTTTTTTATTTCTACACTTCCAGAAATTGACATGTACGTGCTGTCATTGGCCTTTATTAAACCAAATAAGCCATGATTATGTGGCACAGGGTATTTACAGAGCCTAGATGCTCTTCGGTTCATAGCTTAGATCCAAGTTTGTCCCTACAGCATGTGCAGCCCAGGTATGACAGCTATTTCTTCCCAGAAGGCTCTGTGCTGTCATGGCACAAACACCCAGAAAGTTCTGAGGAACAGAACTGGGCAGCCCAGCTCTGGATGGCAATGGTGGAACAAATCTTACCCTTCTAAGAACTACAGTGGTCTCCCAGTCCCACAAAATAATTTCATTTTCTACCCCAAACAGGGGTGTGCAGCTAGGAGGGCAAACATCACTTCAATATTTCTAATTTACATGATGCATTTTTAAATAAGGATGTTTTGGTTCAGCTTCTCTTCTGCCTTCCTTCATTTGCCTCAGTTGTGCAACCGACAGCATGCAGATTGCTGCAGAGGGGTTCCCCTCTGCAGTCCGTGAGACATTATCGGTATGTGGGTGTAGGTATTTTAAAGACCTGGTATTGCATGCTGTAATTTAAACCTGAATATATTTTAAAATGTGCAGTCTTGCTTTAGTCAGGGATATTTAGGTGCTGAAAATTACCCGCCTGCAAAAATAAGTGGAGGATTGCAGTCATTGTGACCTGGAGTTCAGAATGAACAGGAGAAACTTTTTTGTTCAAAAAAACCCCACCATTTTAACACATAGCTAAAAGCAAAAAGCCAAGCAAATCAATTAGCCAACCCACATTAAATTAGAATTGAATTCTGCCTCTTTTTAAGTTCGGTGTCGACAGAAGTATATTCTGGTTTTTGGACTGGGATGAGATTTATTGTAACATACAATATCACTTATTTAATGTTTGCTCCTTCTGAAGATGTTTCTGGGACAGAAGCTGAGTTCTAAAAACTTGCTAGAGAAGTGAAGTCATCCCTGCTGGGAGTACAGTTCTGTGGGTACATTAACGTGCAGTCGATGTCACTGACAGCTGTTCTTATGGACCCTACACATGCCGTTCTGAATAGATCCCCTTACTGGAGAGGTTCACTGTAGGTAGTTGGGATTAGACTGGGTTGATATTTATACATTTTGGAAAACAGTTGAAAAGACTTTTTAATCAATTTAAATCATTGTGTTAACAGGAAATAAAATAAATGGCAGGGATGCTAAATGATTTCCCCCTCCCTCCTATAACACAATCAATTTAATGAAGTTAAGATTTATAACAGAATCTGAAACTACATTACAATACTATATTGTCATTTGTGTTTTGGGTTTTTGTTTTTTTTTTTTAAAGACTCTCAGGCATGTAGAGGAGCCTGTTATTTTTTTGGTCTGATCTTGGGGAAATGCCAAGCACCCTCCCAGCAGCGCTAGGAGCCCTCAGCTCTCCCGGGAGGCCTGTGTTGTTAAGGGCGCTCAAAGAATCTATTGCTCAGTTCCATGGGGGAGGGTTTGATCTCTGTCCAGTTTTCTTTCATTTTCCTCTCTTCCCATTATCCTCCCTTGTGTCTGAGGCTGCTTCCCAAAGGCCTTTCAGACATCTACAGTCCTGTAGCACGTTGCCCGCAGACCTTGAAATCAGCAGCTGTAATGGGTATGGTAAGGCGTTTCTGACACGGTATCTTGAAAATCTGGGTGTCTGGGTTTCTTTGCCCTTCTGGCTCTTCTAGCGACGCAGCTTCTCATTTTCTCTGTTGTTGCGCTCTCCGCTGCCCCATTTGAAACTTTTTTTTCCCCACACACTTCTGAATGCCATCGCTTGGTTTTGTGGTGAATATTCTCTGTAGCCCTCCACTCTCATAACCTTAAAGCTGTTTCTGAGGGTAAGGATGGGGCCGTGCTGTTGAAACCCTCAGATACTCTTGGCTTTAAGCTAAATTTGCTGACTGTGTCCTGAGCAAGGATGGGGGCAGGTGGGTGTGCATGAGGTGCCTCGGGTGGTGGCTTCGTGTGCCACAGGTTCACAAACACGGGCGTAGAAGCTAAAAGGATGTGGCATGTGTAGCTGCAAGTCAGCCTTGGCTGTCTGGTGCACAAGAAAGCCTGATTTACCAGAACAGCAGTGCTGTGCAGCTGTACCTCGCTGTGCAGGGGAGGAGTAGAGGCGTTGGTGAACACTTGCTTAAGCAGAGTTTTAAATATATTCTATCTCTCCTGGCAGAGGAGGTTTGCTGCCCTGCCCCCATTGTGCTGATGACTGAGTGCCTGGCAATTTTCAGTCCTTCCTGCAGCCTCTGAAGTTAGGACGGTGCTGACATTCTGATTTTGTTTGGGGAGGGGAGGTGCAGGGGCCTGAGTGGTGTGCCTGTCTTGTGTAAGAAATTCCCGAAAGAGTAGATTGCTGCATCAGTAGATCGCCGTGTCGTTCTGTGTGTCCACACAAAGCCCCTACCCCTCTCTGAGGCTATGTTGACAGCTTTAGCTTCCGTGCCTCTATCAGTTGTTCGTTTCTGGATGATGTTTGGTTTATTTGTTTGGGCCCCCCCGCCCCTTTTTTTTTTTTCCAGCTGCTTGACCTCTCACTGGATCACACCTTACTCCACAGCTAGTGGGAGTTGAGTTTTGACTCGCTGTGTGTAGGTGGGTTAGAATCTGGCCCTTGTGTAATATGCTGGGGATAGAGACTGTGCTTTTTTCTGTCTCAAGCCTTGTAGTGCTAGGGAACTCTATTCATGGCTGAGGAGTTGGCTTTGCTTCGTATAGTACAAACCCACATGTGTAAAACGGAGAATGGATGGGATTTGCTGTGCCA